AGGATGTGAAGGCCTGTTGCCTTTCCATTTTACTCAAAGACGCGCTCCTTCCTGAGTTACACCCAGCTGCATCCCACTCACTCACTTTCACGATCTCCAAATTGTCACAGTGCCCCAAGCGAGTGCCATGGAATGCTATAGTAAAAAGTATAAGATGGGAGCTCACCCCATGGGAAGTTTAGAAGACTGTTCAGATGGAGGCTGCAGAGAAGTCTCCATTAGGAAAAAGTGCTTACCAGTGCAAGTACGAGAACCTGCTTTGGGATACCCGGCAACCACACTTCAAAACAAATTTCAAGAATGGTGGGTGTGTGTTGGGAATATAATTCCAGTGTTGGGAAAGGGGAGACAGGAGGATCTCTGGGACTTATTGGCCAGCTGGCCTAGCTAAATCCAGGAGCTCCTTGTCTAAAAAATTAAGGTGAAGAGTGATTGAGGAAGACTCCAACCCCTGGCCTCCCTAAACACACACACACACACACACACACACACACACACACACACACACACACCACCCCAAAGCTGATGAACAAGGCAGTCTGTCCTGGTGGAGTCTCCCTGAACCCATTAAGACTGGCCTCACATCATGAACACTCAAGGCCAGATAACAGAAAGAACAACAGATGGAATTAGACTTCTATTCTTAAAAGACAATAAAGTGAGAGAAGGAAACAAATGGTGGCTTCTCAACCTTATCAGTGAAGCCAGCTTCTGCCCAAAATGCCACCCACCCTGCATGAGCATCGGACTTTCTTACAAAAACTGCATTGTCCAAAATCCTGTAAACGGGCCATCCCTGCAGCCACAACTTCAAGTCTTACATCTTTCCCTTTGATTTGAAAGCAGAAACATGGCTCTTCTATCATAACCATAAACCGCCCACACACAACACAGTGTTTCAATAAATGTTAAATGATACAAGATGCTCCATTTCAATGTAATGGATTACTTAATGAAGCCCATCGCTTAACAAAGCAACTGAGGAAAATTTGGTACAAAACAAATAAGTTTGCCCCAAACAAACTGTCTTGTGAGGTGAATGTCTTTGGAAATGGGAATGGTTAGGAATCGGACCAATGAAATAAATTTGAACAGTAGACCTTACATACCTTCTTAGTGTTGAAGTTGGCACACATCTTAGTATTTGTCTGGTGTTTCTTTCTAGCAGTGTTTTACAATACAGTCTACTTTCCTTATTGTTTTAGAAATAAAATAATGTTCACTTCTTCCAAAGGAGTAAATGGGTCAAGACTCTTCCGGGTTTTTTAACTGCATGTATTGCACATATATGGATTTCTTTAATCTGAAACTGGACATATTCCAAAGATGTCTTAATCATTTTGAGTGAACATAATGGTATCTTAACCTTCCTTTTTTTTCTTCTGTCATTAATTCACCACACGGCTATGTGGAATTTTTTCAGTGTATGGCCCCAGGGCCATCCCTAATGACTGCACAAGGGAACAGGTTTTCCTAATTTATTCATTTGGAAAAAAAAAAGAAAGAAAGAAACCAATTTACTGTGAACCAAAGATCATGCTAAATCCTGGGGTATGGTAAACAAAATGAATGCCAGGCCTGACAGCTAGCAAAAATTTGTATCTACATAGTCTCCTCTCTGCCACTGCCCACTACTGTTCATCATTCACCACCACCACCACCCAAAGCCTGGTCCAAGGTTGAAGAGATTCATGAGAATCTGCTCTGCCACCCAAATATTCAGTTTTCTTTCCATCCTCCATTCCCACCATCGAAGTCTTCCTCTGGCACTCATTTAGTTTCTAGTCCCTTTTGGTCAGCATAGGTCTACATTCCCTTACCATTTGCAAACTTGGTATGTAGTATTTCAAATCACCGTTGCCCGTATTGTAACCACATTGTCCCATTTTCAAGCTTGTCAGAGTGTGTAGTCAGGTGACGAACTATAGAATTTCACCCCATTGTGCCACATTTAAGATGCAGTGCTACAGTAAAAACCACTTGCACGTTTGTCATAGTTCACTGGCCCTGCGGCTCAAGAGTAGAGTCCAAGCTTCTTAAAATTACACGACACAATGCCCTCCACATAGTAGTTGATGAACAATGCACAAATATATGCATAAGCCTGGCTCCACTCTCTGAGTTACAAATAAGAAAAACAAAGCCCACAGACATTCCATAAGAAAAAAAAACCACATAATTAAGCAATTATAGCTATACTTGATGTATTTTTAAACTTCTGCTCCAGGAATTTTTCTATATGAACATATTTTCTCAAATATAAGCCTCTAACTCCAAAGTGTTAGATACATACATGGCCACATGGGACCTGATCACCTTGACCTACCTAGCTTGGACTCCAATTGCAATGAATGTCTTGTTTAGGCACTTTTCATCACTCATTCATTTGTCCATTATTTAGCAAATATTTTTTCACTGCTCCTGAATCTCAGTGTAAAAAAATGCTGAATATACACATTAAAGCAACATGTGCATTCTCTGTTCTCCAGGAACTTTAAATGTATTGGGAGTTCAGGCAGTAAAGTGTTGGGGAGTGGCACATAAGAACAAGAGGGTCAGGAGATCTCAATTGCATTCCTTTCTCTCTGGGTTACAAGCCTCTGTCTAGCCTATAGTGTTCGCGTACAACAGTTTCCAATCTGCTCTTCTGTATCCTGAGTCTCACTGAATTCATAGCCTGACACCCCCCTAAACCTGCATATTATTACACCCTAGTAGAGTCTCCCCCCTTCAAGTCTAAATTCTGGCTATCAACTCCCATATTTCATAAATGTTTGATTACTAAAAACACATCTCCATAGGTTACATTATTTGTCAAACTCCTTGGAGATGAGACACTATTGTTTAGTACTATTCCAAACACCAAAGAACTGAATAATAAAATAATGCATAGGAAGAATCTCCAGCTCTCAATCCTACACACACATACAACATGGAGGGTGGTACAGAGATGCACAGTGGTTGAGAATACATATTGCCATTCCATAGGACCCAGGTTTTGTTCCCAATATCCACATCAGGTGGCTCACAACTAATAACTTCAGCTCTAAGAAATGCAACATTGAAGCAGCTATATCAGGAAGGGGAATGCAGGTCAGAAGGCCTACTTCACTGAGAAATGTCTAGAAAGATAAAAAGTCACTGAGAACAAAATTGCATGCAACACCACACTAAGCTCTGCATGACATAAATATAACCTCTCCATCAAAAGAGCCACTGGTGCAGGTTCAAGACTTGGGATGTAAGCTAAAAGGAATGTAGATGGTCGTCTCAAACACAGAAGAATATATTAACAAAAGAAAAATTGTTTTTCAATAGTCGTAGAAAGAAAATTGCTTTTTCCCAGTGGAGAACTGCCAAGAAGTTCGGGTGGTCACAGAACCTTTCTGCTAAAGGGCTTGTTCACTGAACAACTAGCTTTGATTATGTTTGTTCCTCTGCCAATAAGTATCTCTATGCATCCTTTCAAAAATCTAGTCACTACTGAATAGTAATACTAGTATAGGACATTAAATTAGAATGTACTGTTGTTTCCTAGCCAATTTTCAGGACTAGGAAAAAGGGACTCTCCATGACTTCATGCTAAAGTAGTCAACAGTCTCACTACTAAATCAATAAGTGGTCAGTGGTTTCACCACTAAATCAATAATGTCTCTTCTGCTCTGATTTCCCTTTGGCTTCAACCTTTATCTTACAGCTTGTGATTTTTGTTTTCTGTTTGTTACTTAATGACAGTTTGTCAGTGTCAATGCCTTTGCAATGACAGTACCAGCTCTAACCACTAGGAAACAGGGTGTGGTTTTGAGGCACCCCATCATTGTTCTCTTCAACTTTTCCAACTGTGGGGCTTCACCCCAGTAAACGGGTATCCAATCTGGTCAACTTAAGTATTTCCAGTTCAGAAACATGACTACAATTCTAAAAAGGGTCTTTTGAAAACAATCTCAGCTAGGATGATTAGTAAAATAATTTCCATTTAGGTCATGTGTTGAATTAGAGAATTATAAAAAACTATTCCCATGGTATCTGCGTATATGGCACACACAGAGGAAGCTCATTAACATAGTTATGATGTAAATGTATTCAAGGAATAAATACTATGACTTGATAATGTTGAACTTCTCAAGTACAATAATCATGTGGATGGCTTTCAGAAATGCCATGGCCATCAGATAGTGGCTAATATTACTACAAATCTTGATGAACCCTGCAGGACTCCAAACACAGCTGTCACTCATGCAACTTACATGGGTACTCACACCTAGCCTGTTCATAACCACTGCAGAAAACTCTAAAAGTCTCGATTTCTGATTTTCTATGGTCTGTGATTAGAAGCAAAATAAGAACTGGGGGAAACCACTGCTAAAAGCAATGAGAAGTGTAATTAAGATCATGGCAGAGACAAAGATTCAAAACCATTGTTGATACTTAATACACCTTATTAGTTCCTGGAGTAGGCATACCTCCACACAGCTCACCCTCCGTAACAGTGGTTCTCGACCTTCCTAATGCCATAACTCTTTAATACAGTTCCTCATGTTGTGGTGGCCCCCAACCACAAAATTATTTTCGTTGCTACTTCATAACTGTAATTTTGTACTGGTATGAATTGTGATGTAAATATTTTTGGAGATAGAGGTTTGCCAAAGGGGTTGTGACCCACACAGAGAACTGCTGCTCTATAACCACTGTGCTCAACTGTCAGAGATCTGTGCAGAATGTTTCACAGTAGCTTTCAAATTATTCCATATTCGTATTAGTATTGGGAGAAATCTCTTTGGTTTTGATAAAGATCTCCATAACGAAAAATATACAATTTCCATTGAAAATTAGGATGCAAGGATGACTCAAAGGTGATAATCTTAGAATCACTGCAGATTGGGACCACTCCTACTGACCTGAATTGCATGTGCATGCGCATGATGGCTCTTTGTCAATGTCCTGAAGAATAATTCTGCTACTATACCTGTTTCTTTACCTGTCTCTTTCTCTTTTTCTAGCCGGAGGCCACCTCCATCGCCAACTCGCCCCACTATAATCCGTCCACTAGAATCCTCACTGTTAGACTAAATGAAGTGTCTGGCATGGCAATTAATCACTAATGATTTATGCAAAAGCAACATATTCTGTAACCTTTACAGTCAACCATGAGTAGTCGCATGTATGGACATCCATAGGCAAGTAGCCAGTTTTACTAATGTATTCATCACCCATCTTCATTGCTCATGGTATGCCAGACCTTTGGGGTTTGACTGAAAAACTGCTAACCTGTAGAGAGACTTAATATGTTGTACTGACCAAGGTAGTTTTGTATAGCAGTCCTATACTTTGGTACCATTTATCTATCCAACATATATCTGAAGAGTTTTCCAAATTGTCTACAAAGCAGCTTATAACAATTCTTGACAGACGTAAGAGTGAGCTTAGAGCCACATCAGTTTCTCCCCCACATTCTGTTTAGGATGACAGAGATTCTGTTGTCTGCTATTGACGCCACTGCCTGCTCCATAATTACCTATTTAGACTTCTTCCCCGTCTTTATTCCATAAGCCCGCTAGGAAGCGAGATTTTAAAATTAGAATTGTTTAAGAAGGAAGCTTTTCAGGAGCTTGAGGCAGTTAGCAAAGGGAAAGTCTACAGGGTTTGCTCTAAGTAGGGAGCTTCTCCCAGTGCCAAGTGTGTTTTGCTTCATGTTAGAAGCGCAAGCAACAATGCCTGGATTATTTGGTAATGACCAAAAATCAGTCGATAGATTTGGCTACTTCCAGAAGGAAGAAGCAAAAATATCACCATTCTAAAGTGTCTGTGGAAATATTATCTGTTTATTATCTCATATATTTACCTCTCTGTAGGCTCTGATGAAAGAAGGTTGACATTGAAAATGTTTAATTTTACAGTTGTTTTTTGACATGGGTATCTAGCTCTATTTAGTTATTATGACTATTATTTCAGCTGGAGCAAAGTTAAATGTATGTTAAAACATGATTCCTATGATTTACATATAAGTGATTATGCAAGAATCCCTTTAAAACAACTAGAATGTCTCTACCCATTCCAGACTCTCTTAAATCTTGCAATGTAATGACACAATTGCATTGGAAGTGTGGTCCCTGTATGCAAACTCATCAGAGATACCATGGTTTAAGAGCACAGCTCACATGTTTACAGATGCCCTGCTCCAGCTTGCTCCCAAAAATGCCTTTGCAATATTGAGCTGCAGAACAAATTTTCAATTTCTACAATTTCTAAAATTTACAAGAGCAGTCTAGCCTAGAGGTTAATAGTTCAGCCTTGAGGCTAAGTTTTAAACTACCTATGACCAGATGATTAACATGTAGGAGACAGCTAGAAGCCAACTGGAATTCTGTCTGCGAACTGCTCCCAGACAGCAGAGACATTCACTGAATTGTGCGTCCCATGACATTATTCCATATTCACAGAAGTAAATTACGTTTTTCTAACTGCAGTGTCTCCCTTTGAAGGCAGCAAACATGATTTGTATGTGAATTCCATTTTAATTTCCTGTGCAGTTTCTACCCGAAGCAGGTAGAAACCATGACATAAAAACTTTAACCATTATTAAAAAAAAAAATTCCAAGTTAAATGGCAGTGCATTGAACTTACTCTAATGGGTTATATCCCACTTATAACTGGAAAAATTAGAGAACATGAAACATACAAAATGGATATTTTCAAATTTTAAGTGACACAGAATATCACTACTCTTCACTTCTCTCATTTTTCCCATTGGAAAAAACAATCCGTGACTAGAACTCTCACACACGAGATGAACATTGTCTTTGAAAATGGTGTTCCAACTAAATGGAAAAACATTAAGCAAACCTTCATAATCAAACAACTAATGGAGAGTGGGGTCTTCTCATGAAACTCCCTGTTTAGGATTCCCTTTGCTTCTTTGAGTTCTCTAAAATAGGCAGCTAATGAATTAGATGCTTCAGGGTTTGACTATGTACTTACTGTGGTTTTGTATCTTGCTGTATTTCAAAATTTTCCTTCTGTTAGAGGAAAATATTGCAGAAAACCACTGGTGTGTTCTCAGATCAGCACAAACCAATGTCAAGGAAAATTGGGGATTTGTCTCTCCAAGTTTCTTCCCACTGATCTTAGACAGTCGTAAACAATGGCATTTGTCATCTTTGGCTTTTGCTTCTTGATCCATAGATGCCTTGTCCCAAATGTCTCCATCTGTCAGGACAGTTTTGTTCTCTTTGCTACCATGTTATATCAGTGGCACCCAGCACCTCTCACCCCCCACCCCACCCCAGAATTCCAGCAATGGCATTCCAGAATATTTTCAGTTTATTGCAGTTCGAAGGGTTTGCATCCTGCTAACAGGAGACAACAACGTGAGTGGAGCGTGACATTCTAGAGTGTAGAGTTTGTGGAGTGGCATGCACATCAGGCCTTAGGATGGGAATGTAAGCTCAAAGGGCCTTACATTTCCCATTCCATTTTTAATCTCTTGTGCAACCTCCTGATTGATGATTCTGATGATGTCAGCACAATAGATGTAGCTCTATCTTGTCTAGCATAATAAAAAAATAAACCCAGTGTTTCTAGGATTTGAAAAAAAATAACTACTTGTTTGATTAAGTAAATCCAGTTTCACTGTTACATGCTAAACTTTGCATGCATGTTGACTAACTGGAATAACAGTTTACTTAATTGTGGATGGGATATGAAACAGTATTGATTTAGAACAGATATATTCCCCAAAATCATCTACTAAGAAAACCTTCTTGAATATTGCTTTTAGGTGTGTTTTATAGCATAGAAGAGCAGTAGGGTCTATTTGTTGGCAATTTCACTGTTTGTGCAGATTCATACTCAGTCTATCCAAAAGCATAATAAAACAATTTCTGTGTTATAAACATTCTGAATTTAGAATTAAGTAGCCACATAGATTAATTTGTGATTTTTTTAGACTGTAGCCATAACTCTAAAATATGAAATGGGACCTGATACCAGTATGTGACAAGTGTTGATGTTCTCTGTGTACTTATTTTCTCTGCATGTCTCTAGGAATATACTATATACATAGTAAACATCTATTTCATGTCCTTTTTGAGTAAGTTCAAAAGCACTTGCTAACATGCCATTAAGCATGAATGTGATAATATGTGCATTATATATATATATATATGTATGAGTATAAATATCAGTGTAAACCTGTGCTCAGTATGTAAGAATATGAATATATTTTTAACTGTGCTAATGTATGATATATGTTGGGAAGATCTGCCATACCTGTGATTACAGTAGTTCATTTGTCATAACTTACATGAGATACACAAGATTTTCTAACTCATACTGTATATATTCTGAGGGGCACAAAGCTTATGAGAACTAGGATGAGATAAAGTGATGATAACCAGGACAAGGTAGAGTAATGTCTATAATCATTAGGATTGAAACCCACAGCACTGCTACCTAAAGGCATTACCCTTTGGTGATACTCTGATTAAAAAGTATAAGACTTGGAAGCTTTTCTCTAAGGTCTCTAGTTAGAACTGTGTTATTTAAAGATTGTTGAGTTGACTTAAGAAGCTAAGTTGATCTGTATGGTCATTTATTCTCTACAGTAAAAGTTAAAAGAATACAGAGAGGTAGCAACATAATGAAAGGGATGGATCTTTCTGAGCAAAACTGTAAAACATGCAGGGAACAGGTTACTTAACTCCTTGGAGGTATGTTATCTACTCTTTCAGGTAAACCTTTTGCATTTAGCAAACTATATAATTACTTTAAATTGATGGGAATCTCTGAAGGATGGAGAATAAAGCCTAAACAGATCTCCAAACTGTCTTAATTCAGTGAGAAATGATTGTGTGTAAGACTCAAGCCATGAGTTTTACATCATTTCACCTAGGACTAATTTTAGAGAAATAATGGATAGTTCATCAGATCATTTAGTCTTTTCTAAATAACTCTATTTGTCTTCTAGATACTAGGCTGTCTATCTAGCTGATGTGTTTAAATTATGTGGTGCTCTGTATGTGAAACTTTAACAATATTTTTGAAGTATATATAGAATATGCATTGTTAGTTGTGTATATATAAATACATGTAAGAATATTTATATGTATGAGAGCAAGAGACAGGAACCTCAGAATCTCCTGTTTAAGATCTGCTAGTACTGGTATACTGGTGAGACTTCTCATTCCACTGGTCAAGGGCTTCACATGTGGCTCAGCTCAAGGCATTAATTTCCTTATTGCTTTTACCTTTAAATCCCCTAAACTTTACTCATAATATTTTCATAGTATACAAAAATTACTCCACTGTCTTATACCGACTGCTGCCAATCTGTGGAAATCATTTCTCAGAAACCCTACCACTATGACCTTGTGGGCTTTACTTTCTATGCACAGCTTTTGTTTCATGAGCTTGTAAATGTTCCTCTTCTCTCCCTGTTCTGAGTCAAATTTCCCTTTTGCTTTTTTATGAATGATGAGTATATAAAAGTCAAAGCTTGTCTTCTCTGTTTATTCTTTAATTAACATGTCTTTTTGGCACTTTTGGGATTTCTTAATGCTGGATTGATATGGATTCTGTGAATGGGATTTTTGAAGCAAATTCCTAAAGCCTGTATCATCCTTGAAGGTCATGTACCTAGTGTGAAAATGTGAAACTGTATTTCGAACCTGAAATAAATTATTACATTTGAAGGAACCCCCAATTCCTCATTCTTGTATACATTTGAGTCTCTGCATTTCAGTAACACTGCAAGTAAATTCCTACTGCCCCTTCGCTCAAATCTGTCCAGCATTACTAAAGTGGAAAGTGACAGCAGTTTGCATTCCCGTCCTTAAGTTATGAGAAAAGGAGATTTTCAGACAGCAAATTAGGTAAATCAAAGAAAGGGGGTGGCAGGAGACACTTCCTACTAATTTCAAATAATAGGTTGTAGGATTCTAACCTCAGACAGTGGCATGGTATGACCTTTGCCAAGAAGCGATGTGACAGTTTGCCCTTGGAAAAGAAGTATTTGTGGGAAAGCCCAAGAAGTAGGAGGAAAGATAGTCTATTTACATGTTAGGTCAACTGAAGACAAACACTGAGCACCTGGCTAATCCATGTTACCTACTCACTGGGCACAAAAAGGGAAATGTAACTGCAATGTGTCCAGTAATTAGAAAATAAAAGTAAGTGTTAAGTAGGTACAAACAATCCTTTCCCTAATTGGGTTTCCAGATAATAAACACTCTTGGTTGTGAGTTTTGATGACAGCTCCCTAACCACACATGGTTCTAGACTATGCCATCAAAATGCATACAATAGGAGGGGGAAGAAGGGAGAGATATTGGTTTAATTTTCCATGCATGACCAGGATATATAATTATGGGAAACAGCTGGACAGATTGCTCTTTTCAGCTGCAATGTCCTTCTCTATACCTTTCCCACAAGTGGAGAACCCATGCATTCAATGGAAGCTGTCTATTGGGAAAGATCATGGATAAGAATCAGGCTGGTCACTTGCATTTTGTTTTAATCACATGATTCTAATGTATGGTAAAATACTCAGAATGATTTCTAATGAAAATTACAAAAAAAAAAAAAACACACCCAAAGGACAATATTGTCACTCTTTGGTAGCTTTCTATCATTGTAAATCTCTGCTTGATTTGTTCTCAAGATTCTCGTCTTTCTGACACCACCTTTCAATTGCACTTTGAGAAATGCATCTAGTATCTGGTTTCATGAGACTCAACCTGACTCCACCCCCACCCTTACCAACTCTTGATACTGTCACACTTGGGTTGTTTCTTGGTGCTCTCTCATACTGTAGTGGCATAGTAATTAGAATATATGCAAGAGGCAATGACTAAAATTACTGACTTAATTCAAAGCCTTCCAAAGTACATTGCCCGAGATTGTAATGAGCTCACATACAGAGACCAAGAGTCATTTTATCAGTATACTTTGGGAGATGACGGCTACAATGTAAATATCTTTTACTGAAAGAAAGAAAGTAAAATTACACTGTGAATCTTTAAGAGAGAGATAGTGTCCACAAGCTCTTCAGACTTCTTTGATCATAAAAGTTTCATTCATGAAATACCCCACAGAACTAGTATTCTAAGTAACCTGCTTTAGGAAACATTGCTTTGAGGGCATTAGCGAGAGGGAAAGCCATTGGTGATGTTTTTGTTTGTTTCTGTTTTTCGAGACAGGGTTTCTCTGTGTAGTTTTGGTGCCTGTCCTGGATCTCACTCTGTAGACCAGGCTGGTCTCGAACTCATAGATATCCACCTGGCTCTGCCTTCCGAGTGCTGGGATTAAAGGCGTGTGCCATCACCACCCGGCTACATGATAATTATTTTAGAGTAAGCTGACACCAACAAAAAGTTGTGTTCAAGTTCAAGCATAAGAGCAAGATGAAGTCCCAGCTCAGGACAGATATCCGGAAGCACTGGTGGCTTTGTGACCACAGTATCTGAGCTTCCTAGAAGGAGATGCCATAAGACAGGAGCATGAAAGCAAAAGAGGTGGGCACAGGCATTGATTCCTACTAAACCTTGGGTGCGACCTTGTCATTTCCTGCCTTACTTTCTTCCCTATCACTTTCAAAAAAAATTGCATCGAATATATACTTGTGAGGTTGTTGTGAATGAAGAGAGCCAGGTCCATCTAAAATGAAACTTCACCAGAGAAGGACTGAGGACACCCTGTTCCTGTTGTCTTCTTTCCTCACTTCCCCATGCTTTAGGCTCACCCCTCTGCTGTGGGATGGTAAGTTGCCGAAATGATAGGCAAAGCAAGCAAGCAGAGGTTGGTGAAATTTTACAAAAAAGAGAAAACATAGAAAGAAAACCATCCAAGAGTTTGTTCCACGGCAGGGGCACCATCAGACTAAATTGTGGCAGTGGGATAGAGCTGAGAGGATGTAATTCATTCTTCCTAATAATTCTTAATGATTTTTTTCATCTCTTTTTCTTTGTGTTTGGGAAAAAACTTACCTGTGAAGTTATTTTTCTGAACGTTTAAGAAAATATAACCTGAACGTATAATCTTGACATTATATGTGCCTGTGAATACCAGGTTGTCGAGCTTTGAAATGTGTTACCTCAGTACTCTAGTACTTTTGTAGGTTTGTATAAAGCCTGCATTTGCTCAGCACTTGCCTTCAAGCACTCTATACATATAAAATTCTGAAAAGGGAATAGCAAAAACCCAAACTGTCAAGATCCATGGTAGAACTAGCAGGTCCACTGAATGCTGTTATTACCAATGGTGCTTTTCTGGTAACAACAGGAACGTCAGATACAGGGTACGTGAAGAAGAGAAGAAAGGAGCTGTCTGAGGGAATGTCACCATGGTGTTTGAAGTAAACTTTCTTGCTGTCAGTGAAATATATTTTAGAACATAATATGTCTGATCCTGTTTCTGGATTGGAACACCAAACTAGCTCCCATGGGACGGTGTTTTTGGCATGTGCTCACAGAATGTCCCTTCAGCACTGTAGACCTGCTGTTCAGTTTAATGGCTCACCTCCCCACCCTGCTGAGGTAATTAAAGTGTTCCAAAGCCCCTTCAGAACTCAAAAATAGTTTCTGTTTGCTAGGCAGGTGATAAATCTCATTCAGCCTGACAGAAATGTAATTACACTTTCTTCGTGAAAACCCCAGGGATACCGTTACCGGGATCTCTCGAAGCCCAAGGCTTGCAGACCCCCCCCCCCAGTTGAAAGGTGGGGGACTTAGAACAAGTTTTTCATCATCTAAATAGCTGGGAGGCCTCCTTAATGTAGCCAGATTAAGTTGGACTGGAGAAAAATTGGTCTAGGACTTTGGGAAAGGTAACCACCACTCAAGAAAAAGCCCAGTCAGTTTGGTCCCATTAACTTCTCACAGAAGACTTAAAGAAGAGAAAAGGAAGTGTTTAGGATTTTGCCTTTTATAGACCCAACTGTTGTCTTAACAAGAAGGAAGTGAGCATGTTGCTGGACAACTGGCTGGGTGGCTCAAGGTGACGTCCCACAGAGAGGAGGGTTTGAGATGATCTCACAGTGCCCTCAGAGTCAGTGTTCAGTGACTCCATTAGACAGAAGGAATTGAAGTGCAGACTTGTGCCAGAAGCCCCTGGGCAGCCTTCCTTGAGCCTGCCATGTGTCTGCTACAAAGCTGTCCCTTGCAGCATGGAGGTTACTGCATCTTCTGGAGATGCAAATCGCTTCAAATTCCAGAGGCTGATGCCAAGCAGCAGCCCAGCTCTGCACCCTGACTCCACAATTCATGACCTGATGAGAAACAAGCCAGGCTAGGGATCCAGAGACTATCCGGAAAGCCAACATCTGTGAACCCTGGAATTGCTTCCCAATAAATCTGGATTTTCATTGCTCCTTGCTCTAAGACATGGGAAATTCCTACAAATCCTGGGGCCACCAAGAACCAGCCCTCGCCTGCTATTTTTCCTAGACTTGATCCTAGGCTGCCATACTGCATAACGATTCACCTCAGATTCTTAGTTACAAGTTCATGACTGTAAATGAACCCATGAGGTTTTCTGTGTTGGGATGATAATGCTCATTTGATCTTGATACCTTTTAATTTCCTTACTTTGAAAAGATTTCACTAGTCACGTGATAACGTAAGGACTAAGGTAGTAAACTGAAATTTCCATCAACAAAATTCTATAGCAATTCCTTTCCCCCTGGGGAGCATTCACGTCAAGTCTTGGGAAATAATTTGGGGTCAAACAATTAGGGTTAGAAATCAAATGTGCAACTCTAAAATGTAACTTTTAACACGATCCTAATTCACCTACTTGATTGCAAGGATTTATAACTCCATGGTGCAACATGGTAGCATTTTTGAATGGGCAAATGCCTTAGTGTGCTGCCGGTACCCTGAGAGTCCTACCGCTGCCAACTTTGCCGTGTGGTGTACTTTCACTTCTCCTGCATGCATGCCTGGTCTTTTGCTTTATTTGGGGTTTTTCGTTTGTTTGTTTGTATTAGACTTTTGTGGGATATTTTTGCATGCCATTACTTGAATTTATTTTATAACTTAAACATTGTCTTCTTCCTCTACATGTTTTCCTTTTTTATTATTTTGTTTTGTTTTTACTAGGAGACCCCCTCCTGCAGTTCCAGGCCGACCATCCTAAACCACACCCCCACCCCCGTCATTCCGTCAATCATCTCCTTTCATTTCCAACAACGTGTCTGTCTGTCCATGGTATTTAAAGTCTTTTGTTTGCACTATGTCACATGTATATATATAAAAAAAACTTTTATTTTTGACATGTGTCTTTAATTAAAAAATAAAGTTTATTCTATATAAAAAAATTACGTGTGTTCACTTCTTTTCCTGTAGGAAAAAAAATGACCCAAATTAAAATAATTTATTTAAGCTAATGCTTGGTAAGGTAAAAATGCATTTATCTAGTCTTTTTTTTTTTTTTAAGAAGGGGAAATTGATTTTGTGGGGGACTGGGAACAGGTGGGGATGGAACAGGCAGGGGGTGTAAGGGATGGCAGGAAAGAGCACTGGGAGAAATGACTGGAATTGGGGGGCATTTGAGGGACAATATAGAAACCCAGGGCAGTGGAAACTCCCTGGAATCTATGGAAGTGACCCTAGTGAAGTCTCCCAGTAATTGGAGATATGGAACCCAAACTGGCCATCTTCTATGACCAGGCAAGGCTTCCAGCAGTGGGACTGGACATC